GGGCGCCGCTGATTACGGGTGTCCCCCGCACCGGGGGACCCGGGGGAGGCGGGACACGGTGCCACTGCTGTCCCCCGCTTGGTGCATGCGGGGCCGGGGGGCGGCTAACGCCAGCGCCGGCCCAAAGCGCCGGCCCAAAGCTTGGGGACCCTGAGAAGGGACCGAATTGGCAAACGGGGGCTCGTGGCAGCAGCCCCAGGCCCTTTGCAGGGCCCGGCACCTCCGGCAACGCAAGGAACGCGCCGCTTTCCCCCCTTCTACCTGCGCAGCAGACTCCTGCTCCAGCATCCCTTCGGGAGATCCTTGCTTGCAGCAAGAAGGCAAGGGGTCCACAGTGGCGGGTGCATGCCCTCTCTGAAAGACACGCAAGGAGTCACACCGATTGCTCATCGGAATTCCTACAAAACAGCCCAGCACGCCGCTGGGAAAGCTGGTACCAGCTGGGAGGCGGAAAAAGGGGGGAAAAAAGGAGAACAGGACAACCTGTTGGGATAGAAAAATGCTTTGCATTATGTAGAGGTGTTTTTTTCTTTTAATAACCGGGTGAATGCCAACATTAGAGCAAAGTGGAATCCTTACCTCGGCATAAGGAAAACACCTTCCCCTTGCCCAGTGCAACTCAGAACTTCCCGGGAAGTCCGGGGCCCCTTGGATATTTAGTGTATAAGTCCCAAGCTGCACCTTGCCCGAGTGAGGGAAACAGGGAGCAGGGCCGTGGGGACGGCGGCAACGCGGTGGTGACCCCAGCGCGCTCATCGCCAAGCCCAGAAGAGCTCTCGTTAATGAACACATCTATGATGAATCCGGAGCTCGAAATCCCAAGAGCTCGTTCCATCTCCACTAAAACACCTCGGAAGATGGAGTTCCCGGGCTGTTCCTCAGCACTTCCCTAAGATTTTCCAGCCTGGCTTCTCCCTCGTGGTATCTGGGAACGTCACCCTAAAGGCCACAGGCCGGTGTTGTGCTGCCCCCATCAAAGCCAACCCGGAGCTCGCTCGGAGCGAGCCGGAGAGGACGGGTTTGCAAGGAAGCGCTCAAGGAAAGAGCAAAGTCACGGTGCAGAACCGCCCGCGCCGCCTCGGGCACCCCGAGGGCTCCGGGGGGCTTCGCCAGCAGAGCTCCCGTTTCCTTGGGGTTGGGCGACATAAGAGCTATTGAACACATGGGGAAAAAAATATGGAATAGCTTTGGGACAGGACTGAGCACCCCCAAATCAATGAGTCCCCTTGGCCGCTGCAGACAGAGCTGTTGAGCAGAGCGAAACCGCTCGTCAGCGAAGAGGAGGACGAGGCCGGCGAGGAAAACGCCTCCTGCGGCTACAAAGAGTTTTGTTCCCTCCAAGACACAGAGTTCTGCCCCTGACCTTTCCCCGGGAGCCTTAGGAAAAGCCTTCAGCTGATGTGGCCGCCCAGGAATGCGCGGCTCCTTCTTCTGCGCTGTTATCTCCCGCGTAACCAGAGACGGGATCCCTGGGCACCGGCGGCCCCGCGCCCGG